ATTAATAGACATTAATCAATAAATCAACCTAAAGATTAACTGATTAAATTAATTCTTCGTTTTTATAACAATAAGCCTTGTACAGCAAACGATTATACTGCCATTTTTATAGGGGTTGGAAAAAACTGATACTGCATATATAAGTACATTTTGTCTGGCAATATTGTATTGATACAGTCACACAAAATATTGATATTTTATTATAATAAATTAAAATACTCCAGGAATACTACAAACAAAAGGGCCCATCTTGCCAATCTCTCAGAGAGATTGTCAAAGGTTGGCAAATAATTGGTACCTCATTTATAAATGTGGACAGACTGCCAACATGTTGACTAAGTATTTGTAAAATGAGCGCAACTTGAGGGAACAGGGAGGTTGCTTTGAGTAAATGTTAAAATTAAAGGTGAATTTTTGTCTATGTAGACAGCAACAGATATGTGATTTTTGACGATTAATCACTGTTATTTGCTGTATTATCAGAAGCTGATTTAATTTAACTGCAAACTTGATCCCATTCAATCGCAGACTGGCAGTCTTATGACAACATTTACGGGACCTTTTAGTGACAAAGAGATATGGAAAGTTTAAATTGAAGAACATCATTTTCCCAAAAAAAAGTTTGATAAATTGCAATATATGTTAATGCAATAATCATATAGAATATTGCAAAATGTTCAAAATTGCAATAATATTGTATCGGGAGCAGTGCTGGGGTAAAGACTCAAGAAAAATAATGTATTATACAATACTCGTTATTTAAGTAATACATTTAAGTTAAGCAGTATGTTACTTGGTTACTCACCACAGAAAGTGATTCATTACACTACTTATTATTGTATCATTACTCTATAAAATTACCTGAAATTATTACATCATTACCAGTTAAAAATATAAACCTATAGGCTACAGTCCCACACGCCAACACAAATCTCTACCCTAATGGTGACACACGTAGGATCTTTCTTTAGTATTTGCACATGAAAACACAGCCGGCAACACAAAGCAAAGATGAAAAGCAGCCCAAAGAGACTTTAAAGCAATCGCCACAGTGATTCTACTTTAGAAACATGAAAAGGTAGAAACGGAGCCTACAAGTGTGAGTTCTCATTCAATTCAATTCCATTTTATTTACATACAGCGCAAAATCACAACAACGTTCAACTCAAGGCGCTTTATACTGTAAGGCAGAGAGCCTTCAATAATAGAAATCACTCCCTTTGCTACCAGGTGAAGATCAGGGTCTGGCTGCTGGGCAGGAGACAGCAAACACAGCTATAAAGTCAGTCTGGATTCTTTGCTAGCTTTGTGTTATCATGTTGTCTGTGCAGCTGCTTGCAAAGGGCTAAAGTTGTATGAGCAGCATAATGTAGCTGGATGCCACTTCAACTTTACCATCGCACTCTCATCCTATTGTGCAATAAAAATTAAAGTAATTTCCGTATCTCCACTCCTCAGAAGCTCTATTGCTGTACCACTGTGCCATTTTTCTCTTTCCACACATGAAATAAAATCAGCTGATTGTAGCTTGTAATTGTAACTGTAATGTAAATACAGTAACGCTTTACATTACTGTGTTACTGAAAAATATCATGTAATCACAGTGACGTGTTACACCCAGCAAAGATCCTGAGTGAAGTATTGTGATAATATCATATCGTGGGGTGTCTGACGATTCACACCATTTACATCTTTATAGTCATTTGTGCTCACACTGACCACTCAAAATACTTTAATACAGTACACTATTCCATGCATGAGCATATTATCTACCTCACATTCTCAGCCGGTTCAGAATCACCAGTTACCCACAGAGACACAAGGAGACCATGCAAATTCCACAGAAAAAGGCCACAGTGGACCAGGAGGAGATACAAAACCAGAATCTCAGAAAATATGAGATGTTGCACCGTTTGAGTTGCCATACGCTCACAGTGCAATTTTCCTCAGCAGAACTGGCTGGCTTGTGTTTCTTATATAACAGCTGTCTACTATGACAAGATTCTGCAGCTACTGCCTAGGGAGTATACTGCCTGACCCAGATACACCCTAATACATTCTACTAATGACTTACATTCACTCACATCTGCACAAGAGAGATTGAAAGAGATTAAAAAAAGAGATACAAAATCTGTATATATATATAACTATATATAAATATAGCTGGACCAGTAATAGAAAAGTTAATGCTAAATCTGGGACATGTGTAGTTGTCACAGATGATTATGTCTGGTTGTAGTCCTGCTTCATACAACCTTGATACAAGTATAGTTGTGACACTGTGTAAAATGGTAATAAAAATACATTTTTAGATCATTTAGCACATATTGAATCAAAAGTAGCACAAAAAACAACTTATAAAATGTTGATTATTTTTGACAGATATATTGAATTTGCTGGTAAAAGCTCTTAAATGAAACAGTGATATAAAGGCAACAAACAGTTTTGCAATTCTTAAAAAAAGAACACCTGGTGAGACATCTCACAACTAGTTCATTAATAAAGCTCTATTAATAACATGACTGAGTCTTAAAAGAGCATCCCAGATAGGCATGGCATCCTCTTTCCATCCCTTTTGTTTCACAGATTACGAATACTATTGCCAAATCTTTGATCAAATCTATCAGAAGTGGGAATAATTTATGATGAAGTTAAACATCTGAAGTTTACATCAAGCAAAACTGGGAAGAAAGAAAAGATCTTTTTCAACTACTGTAAAGCAGCTATGAAACAGAGTGCTGTTGAAAAAAATGATGCAACACTGAGGTAAACATGACTTGAATGAAACATGTTGCCAGTATCAGATTTAAAAGCATGTATTTCAAAAAGTTAAGTTTCATGATTTCTAGATTAATAAGCTCTGCTTGTTCGATTTTCATTTGAATTCTATTCATTTTTTAATTTAAATTCAAATTCAAATTTTTTTTTATTTT